GGTCAGCCACGTTCAGCACAAGGTCCATGGTTAGATCTGGAAATAAAAGGACAGAATAAAGCTCATCAAGAAAAACTTTTATAATTAAGATTTAAGATTATATAACAAATTAATTTCCAATTTTACTTTTACATAAGCAAAATTACACAGTTTATCAAAAACAGCAAATGCAAGATTATTATTTATAATAAGATTATTATACTGTATTTAAGATTATTATTTGAGAATTACAGGGATTCTAAAGTTTTTTTTTTCATGTTACGTTGGTGCTGGTTTTGTTGTACTCCTTAATTAAAATGTTATAGCGTTAAACAAATTTTAGTTGTATTAAATCTGCAAAAGTAATTAAAATAATTTAAAGTTATGTCATTTCGCACCTATGCAAACAACCTCATTAATCATTAGAAGTGTCACAATTAAAATGAAAGTCTGACAAACAGAAATGAACCTTATGAAGACAATAACAATGATTGGCACAAACCCATCTACCTTCAGGCGCTTAAGAACAAATTAAATTTCACAGAAACCGGTTATGATTTGTTGTTTGTCGTTTTAATTAACCAGCTCGAACTCAATGACACCACGATGAACTTAATAGTTTTAAACATGATAGAAMGTAAACAAGAAGCTTATTTTAATCGGTTTACGAAGAAATGCAGGAAAAGTAAGMTACTTTCACGTGTAGCTAATGATAAAAGTTAGCAAAACAAACCAGAATTGTCAATAGTTATAAGAGAAAACAGCACGAAAGATTAAATAATAATTACAATAACCGACCCTGGAGGCTACATAATTGTCTAAACTGTTTAAATAAATAATCTGAAGTAATTTTATAACGTTGACATTAAGTTTTTAGGACAATTATTTCAAAAATATTGGAGAAACATACCTCTCTGGTTSCTAGTAATATCCTGGTTGAATCGCAGGGAGGCGTGCGCTAAACTAAAGGCAGGCCAGCGACCAATCAACGCCAAGTTCATTGTTACGTCATGAAAAATAGGATCCAATCAGCGCTGAGATTCTCAACACGGTACATGTGTTTTGATTTCTGATTGGCCAGCTGCAGGATCTGATCATGGCGTTACAAAGAAGCTGAGAAGATGCTGCTTTTATGTGGTGAATTTTCTGACACAAAAAGTTCAGATTCTTGGGAATTTGGATAAAACAGGTTTTAATTAAAAATGTTTGCACAGAATCTGAAGTAATATCAATATACTTAAAAGGACTTGAGCGCCTTTCCAGTCATTTTTTGCTCTTTTTAACACAGACAAAATAAAAATAAAATAAATTGTAACTGACTTAAATGTATTTAGTTTTTAAGTCATTGTCTGGCATTCTTAGTACACACATTTTGTTTGTCAAAACGAATAGGCTACAATAGTTTTTTTTAGAATATAGTGTAGCAGAAATAAAATAATTTTTACCACAGTAGTGTGAACTTACAGCACATGAACACCAGAGGGCAGTGTTTACCCGTTATCATTTTCTGCTCAATTATTTTATTCCAACTTTTTTTTTTTTATCAAGTTGGCAATATGTCAAAGGTAGCAGCTGGTGACTGTAAATTGTTCTGAGCTGTGCATTCATAAAACTAAAAAAATTCAGGTCCAAATGGTTTATAAAAAATAYTCAGCAGGGTTGTCCATTATCCTGTATGTTCTTTGTGTCTCTGCTCCAACACACCTGATTCAATGACAGAAKCACCTCTTCAAGTTCTGCAGAAGCCTGTTAATCACCTGTGCATCCAAACCAGGTGTGTTGGAGCAGAGAAACCCCTGAAACATGCAGGATGGTGGTCCTCCAGGACCAGGAATGGACACCCAGCTGTCACACAAACAGATTCAGCTGACTCAGCAGCTGAGCTATAAAAAGGAAGCGATGTCACCTGCAGCCTCTCTGTGAAGACTCTTAAACTGACGATTTTCATCCATTTCCTGTCCAGCATTTGAATATTCTGAAYCAGACAGGTTATTCCAACTGAAAGAAATGAACCAGTGTTTTGTTTAAACACAAAGTGGGATCTTTACAGTCTGGACTCAGGATTCTGTCTCTGCTATTTGCAGATGATGTGGTCCCATTGCTTGTTCCAGGTGGGAGGAGTTGACTGTCCTCCCAGAAGAGCTGGAAGAGGTGTCTGTGGATCCCCTGATCAAGCTGCTGCCTCTGTGACCCGGATGATGATGGACAGATGGATCTTTAGACTCTTTGGTACCAGCAGAAATGTGATTCAACATATCTAAAATTACATGTCTGCATTCGTCATTTGAAGGGTCAAACGTTTGTAATTGCAATTTAAGATATCTCAAACGTAATTATGTTCAAACACCCTTTTTAGTATCTAGAATCCTCAGACAAAACCAATTTATGTTAAAATGGCTTGCCATACAGGATGCCCTGCTAACATCAAGATGCTATCTCTGCTTCTTTTTTATATTTTTATTTTGCTTTGGTTGGTCTGTTTGTCTACAAAGCCAGCTGTGCGCTCAGGTTTTTGTGCCTTGTTGCACATTAAAAAAATAATGAATGAATTATTAGAAATAAAGTTTMAATTTGCTCCTGATTGACTTGGTTTTATGTAACGCAGCAGAAGAGCTGCACCATGTTGTAGCTGGATAGAACAAAGTGAAAGCAACAGAGATGTGTAGCATAGTCTTCATCAGCAGGCGGGGGTCCTCCTGCTGTGGGGAYGTATACAGGCTCAGTGGGTGGGTTTCAGCTCGCTTCAGGCTTTAAGATGAAAAGAAGTTCCTTCTGTGAATGAAAAGTGTGTTGACAGTGGACCATGAAGACAGTGTCCCARGATGAAACCATGAACCATAAATAGGGTTAGCACAGCTTGGACCCAAAGAAAAGGTGGTCTCAGAAAGTTCATTATCTGTGAAATRTCTTATTCCACTCTGAGGTCAGACATGAACCAGCGGCTGTTTTGTACATTCTTTTAATTTGTCCATTTTGTCAGACAATTAATTTACAATATTTGCATGAATTTTTACACATCATAAAAAGATTTGTAAAACAACAAGCTAGCAGTTCAAATGTTTGATTAGGATTTCCATCAGGAAGCTCCACTTGTTGGATCTACGACCAAAACTTATTTTGTCAGATTTTCCAGTTTGCAGTATTCTGAGTTTAAAAACTCAAGATGATTTGGCCAAGTCATTCATGTAACTAAACTCAACTCTACTCCTGCTTASACGAGGCTCCTCTCTGAGCGAGTCCGTTCACCTTCACCGTATCGTTACCCAGCTTTCCTTCTGCCTGAAGTTTCCGGATCAGGTCGAGGGGGCCTTTCCCCATCAGAGCCGACGGGTGCCTGTAGGTGCCGCCCAGCCGGTCCCACAGAGTGAAGTAMTGGCCGTAGTTGACGTTGAAGAATAGGTGGTGGTCGGTGTGGTGGGCCGCGCCGTTGATGACGCTCGACAGGGCGCTGGGAACGCGAAAGTCGCCGTCGTGGACGAAGATGGCCCAGATGTTGACGAACACGTACAGAGCCAAGTAGAGACCCTTGTGGAGGGGGAAGAGGAAGGGGTAGATGTGGTACTGGAGGGCCTGCAGAAAGGCCTCCACCGGGTGCATGGCGTGACCGGAGAAGGGAGTGGCGATCTTCCAGACGTGGTGCAGTTTGTGAATCGACTGTCGGGGACAAGAACATGATTTTATTTCAGCTTTATTACAATTTACTTTCATTATTATCTARTTTTACTTGATCACAGAAACCTTATAACTGTTTGAGGTTAGAGCTGAGCTGTCAGGAGTCTAGTGGGCAGGTAAAACAGATCATTTTTAWTAGATTTTGTCTACAGTTACAGTGCAAACATTATAAATCTCATCTAAAATATTTAGGCCACAAACTACTCTTCAACACTGAAATACTATTTGGTTTAGCTCTTTTACCAATCCGGTTTGGGTTTTACTCACTTGACATAAAGCAGTGACGTAAAAAATGCCCAGTTGTTTTAAGACTCTGCGCCTAAACGCAACTATCAGAGGAGTAAACACACCTTGTAAAGGAGCTTATGGTGCAGGAAGCGGTGAACCCAGTAGTTTACCATCTCAGAGAAAAACAAAAAGGAGATCAAACTCAGGAAAAACCCCGACCATCCTGAAAGAAAGGAGGTCAGTTCAGTACCTGGGATGAAAAATAAAATAAATCAGACAGCCTGAGTAGGATTTACCCAATGGGGAGTCATCAACGCTGTCGTACAGTTTGCTGTATCCTCGAACTTGTGCGAAAAACACGGYCACAAACAGAATGCATGTCCCAGGAATACCGGTCATAATCGYATATTTGATTTCTCTGCGTACTTGATTCTGTGGAACACAAGATTTGAAACMCCTGGCCTTGACAATGTAGTTAAAATTCCCTGCACAAATGAACTGTGCACGACAAGTATGAGGTAAACAGATAGGAACACAAAAACATATTTGATCAGAAAAGCCTTAAACCTAAATGCTAACTGCTAATTTAAARTTAAAGTCTATTTTAAAACCCAAGTTTACAAACTATCTGCAGTATCAGGGGGCTTAGATCAACAGGGGATGGTCCACAGGAGCAACCTGATCACTTTTTTCAGGCTTTGATTTCTTCAATAAACAACAGGACTAACTGAGAGGGAATCTTTCTTTTTCAGTGGCATCTACTGTATATTTGACTATCGTCAGCATAACAATGAAAAAAGATCCCATGCTTCCTGACTGTTGAACCCAAAGGAAGCAGGTAAAAAGAGAAAAGCTGGGGACTTAAGATAGAACCCCGTGTAACTCCACGAAGGGGTGGGGCGGTGGGATGGGTGGGTGGGGGACAAAGTCACAAAGGGAACCTGATGGCTAAATATGGCCAACCCCATCCTCAGTCACAGACAACCAATGAGTCCAACCGTTTGCAGGCTGTAACAGTTCAAAGAATCGCTCTAATACGACATGAGAAACAGGTTTTTTTTACCTCCAAGAAGTGTGGATGTTTCATGAGATCGTGGTCATATATGAAGTAGTAATTGATGGTTCCTAGGCCCAGGTAGAAGACGGCCTCCCCGAGGTTTGTCAGCAACAGGATGCTGATGATCTGCCGCAGGGCCCCATCCTCGGGCCACGAGGCTGGGTACACGTACGGAGTGAGGACGTAGTGATCAGCCACGTTCAGCACAAGGTCCATGGTTAGATCTGGGAATTAAAGGACAGAAACAATCTCAAAACAAAAAGGTTCAATCTATCTTATCTTCAATGATTTCAGATTAAACAATGTGGGGATTTTGACATACAGTATGCTCATCAGTGACTGCCATTTTCTTCCCAGACTGCTGTGTCCGAATTGTGCAACACTGCATGGAGTGTGACCTTGCTAATTATTTCTCCTGTTTTGTTAGGTTCCTGTTTTACWCTTTTATTGACAAATATTACTTTTGGGTTACTTTTTAGGTTGCATTTCCAAACAAGGTTTCTAACAAGTTATATTTATGTTTTAAGTTGGAGCTGATTTTGTTGTACTCCTAGTCAGAATTATTCAAATCATGTTATTTTCCATCTATATTATCTGTCACAAGTTTCATTGCAAATAAACCTGACAAACTGGACTGAAACTTATGAACTGCAGGACAACAACAACAATAGTAACCACTAACGATTACTTTTTGTGTCATTATAATGATCCAGCTTGAACTTAGTGACAACACGATCGACCTATAGAGTTAAAAAYGTTTTAAAATGGACAAGAGACTTATTTTAAACTCCATTTATGACRAAATGCAGGGAAAGAAGGAAAAGTGAGACACTTGTTTCACACGCATGATGATCAGMGTTAGCAAAACAAACCAGAATAATTTGGAAAACAACACAAAATGTTAAATAATTACAGAATAATTACTATATGAATGAAGCTGGAGGGTACATAAATAAATCTAATTAAATTATTAAATATTTCAAAAAGTRTATCAAAACGCACCTTTCTCTGGTGGCTATGGTGTCCAGGTTGAAATCTCAGATGGTGTGCATTAAAATAAGCAGGGGAGCAGCCAATCAATGCGGAGGTAGGCGTTACCTCACAAAGATTGGTCAGCTGGAGGATGAAATCACTGCATTATAAAGAAGCAGAGAAGATACTGAGGAGCTTTAAATGTGTGGTGGATTTTCTGGAATATTAGTTACAGATAAAGTGAACTTATAGTTCAGTTACCAACACAGAACATTTTGAACTCTGATTAGCCATGACACGTTAGGATTGCAAGTATGACATTCTTTTTGATAACACAATGTGGCATTTTGTTTTTAAGATATCACATTGTGTATTAACAATATTAGTCACAGAAAATACACTTTAATTGACAAAAAAAAGTACAAATACTTTGTTACTGTACTTAAGTAGAATTTTTGGGTATCTGTACTTTACTTGAGTCATTATTTTTCAGCCTACTTTTTACTTCTACTTCTTACATTTTCACACAATTTTCTGTACTTTTTACTCCCTACATTTTTAAAAAAGGCAAGAAGTAGAAAGTCGTTACTTTTATTTAATTTTTGCTTGTTTTCATTCCAGCTTGTTATTATAAAAAATAAATACTATCTATATAAAGCGTGCCTCCTAGATGGAGTGAATTTAACTGTGGTTTAATGAGAAGAAAATTCTGACTGTATTAGTTTGTACACAAACAAATCATGTCACACTCCAGCATGACATAATCATTAAAATAAAAGTACTGTTCTTAAGAAGTATTTCTATTTCATGAATTATATTATTACATTTGGCTGCAGCCCTCAGATAGATTTTTATTTTGGGGAAAAGCTTTGTGCAGCCTTGATATACGTTTATAAACTGAAACAGCTGAACTAGTGCATCCTAAATTTAACATCAATTAATTATTTTAATACAACAGTCATTTCTGCAGTTTTATTGGGAGGTCACCTCCTAATAAATGTCAATATGCAAAATCTAACTGCTCATTTTAAATCAATACTTTTACTTTTAATACTTAAGAACAAAAAATATCAGATACTTTAAGACTTTTACTCAAGTAATATTCCTAAANTTTTAAATCAATACTTTTACTTTTAATACTTAAGAACAAAAAATATCAGATACTTTAAGACTTTTACTCAAGTAATATTCCTAAAGAGACTTCAAATTTTACCAAAGTAATTTTTTGGTATGATACTTATACTTTTACTCAAGTATCACTTTGTGCTACTTTATACAACACTGATAACAACAACAACAACAACAACAGCAACAACAACAACAACAACAACGATGCTGTGTGTATGCTTTGGGTTGAATAAAAGGGCTGCAATTTGTTGAAACTTCTACAAATAATCCCACTTAGACTTAATGATTTTCACATGCACTAACTGGGAACTGTTTACTGTTTTGGATTAAAAAAATGACCAAGTTATTGATTCCAAAGAAGATTTTATGGCTGTGGTGACCTTTGTACCATATCATGTCATGTTATCAGAAGAACATGTCATGTCTAAATGTTTTACAGCTCTGACAGTGAAGAATGATTCATGTTGATGACTGAATTATTAGGTCACTTTGTTTTCTGCTGCCTGAGCTCTGTTAWACGTCTTCTATAACATTTATTTCTTTATTTCTTGTTTATTAAGTTGCCACAAAAGACAGTTGACTTGTTTCATTCTCGAGACTGTATGTCCTCTGCCAGAAATAGTAGATTAAGACGAATTTACTTTTCAGATAACAAATTCTAGATAAAATGTTTTCAATCTAMCAGACTTGGCCCCTTTTCTGTCACTGTCATCATTGTTCTGAAGCAAAAGGAAAAGAGCAGGTTTAATGAAGAACATTTGACAGATAAATCATAAATTTGATTTTGTTAAAAGGCTCCTACATTTGATAGATACACTGTTGGCCTTATTTTAAAGCTGTTGGATTGACAGTAAAAGGAAAATAAACTCCACAATTCCTCTTCCATGGCACGGCTTTCTGCTTGATTAAAATAAAGCTGGTTTTATTTCAGCAGCTTAGTTTTAATCTTTGAGCATTTCAGTAAACAGCTGACAGATAATTAAGTTTTTTGTGTCTTTTGAAGATGTGTTTTGGTCTTGTTTTATTCTTTATTAACCACACATGACCTCTTCTTTCTGTAATAACTTCTTTAACTTCATTAACCTAAGCCTCTGCCATTCCCAACACTCCATGAATACATTATATATATTTTTATAAGTTAAGTTTGCACTAATTTAATGAGCCCAAACTATTAAAGTCAAACTTTGTAGATGTTAAAGGTCAAATATTCTATAATATGTGTGAATGCTCAGCAACAATCGCATAAACTTTACATCAATATCTGTAATTCTGAGGAAATTGTAGCATTTCATCTTGTGTTTCAGAGCTGTGTTGGCCATCTTGAATTGGATCGACTCAAAATGTCACCCAGTTCCCGAAAGTCTCCTTTACGTCTTTACATTGGTTCATGAGATTATTTGTTATTGACTGTAACAGTTAACACCAACATTTTAAGCAAAGATGTAGCTCAGTGTGTTGTGCTCAGAGTATATTTTGGGGATGGATCTCAGCTACTACCGCACCAAAGTTTAGCTCAATATCTGAAAAACAAATTGAGTTAAAGCCGTTTTTGTGTTTGCTAAAGTTGTTTAGTTGAATGTGTCTCCCGGGCGTTCTCAGGCGAGCGAGTCTTGGGTCTACCCAGGGGTCCAGAACACATCTAAAGGGAGGCGTTCCGGAGGGATCCTGATCAGACGGACCAACCTCAGCTGACTCTATTTCATCGGTGATGATCCACATTTCATAACGACAGGCGAGGGTTAGAATAGACAAACCAGTAACTCAAGAACTTAGCCTTTCGACTCTGCTCTTTCTTCACCACGATTGACCGGAGCAATGCCCTCATCACTGAGGACGAGGCCCTGATCCGTCTTTAGGAATTTATATAAGTGTTAATCAGTTGTAGATGAGAGTTTAATTGAAATCCATCAAGTGGTTAACACATTTTGCTGACAGTACAGACACTCCGCTTCGGCTTTGCCTTCAGTGGCGGTGATAAAAATAACGAACGAGGTTGAATTTGTCATTCCGTATCCTGCGTGTTTTTGTTGAGAAACCTTGTTTATTTGCTTAAAACTGTCTCTGACTCTGTGAGAACTTTGGAGTTTAGAACAGAGTAGGARCTATCTGACGGCATGTGAAGGTATCTTCCCCTACGTGCATACAAAAGTTGAAAGAATGAGGAAGTGTGCAGAGAGACAACCCTCACGCTGAGCCCCAGATAACCTGCTGCTGATCCTTCCCCCAGACAATGTGCTGCTCTCAGATACCTAATCAGAAACTACAAAAACTTATCACAAGTCAACTTTTTTAACTTGTCCTTCCTTTGTGGCTTCTTTTTTCCCTGCAGCTATATGTGTTATAGCAGTAGCCCCACAGATTATTTTGGATGATGAACTGGTTTCACACAAGACAATTATCCTGTCCCTTTACCCGCTTCCTCCTTGGTGTCCAGCAGTCACTGTGTGAGAGACCCGGACAGGTCGCAAATCTGTAGAGACCTTATAGGTCCAATTTAGAGTTACCAATTAGCTTATAACAAGCATGTTTTGGGTTTGTGGGAGGAAAWGGGAGTACCCTCCTGCTSTTACCTTTCTGCTGTARATCACAAGGCCTTTATCTCTAATGCACAGAAATAATCTTTAGTTTTACCAGAAAGATGATTTGGATACTATTTCTGCAGCCTAACCTTGGTGCATTTGCAACTAATTGATGTGAGCACATTACGGGGACACATTAAAGCYGTGAAACGCTGACAAAGCAACTTCCCAGCAACTGTTCTTTTCAAAAATCTTGATCCAATATGGCAGCTTTCATATCCTAAAGACAAGCCTCCTCATCCATTACATGCTTGGGTATTCAAATATTCCTTTTCCCTTTTCTTTATGAAATAAAAGGGTGTCCTGTGTCTTTTGACTCACCCTGTATGTTAACTCATGAATCATTAAAATCATGACAGTTAAAGCTTTGGTCTGTTTGAAAAAGAAATTAAAAACATTAAAGCACAGATAACTGTTTTCCTCCTTGTCTTTGTTTTATGCTAAACTTTAAGCTTAAAGCTAAACTGATGCAGCACAAGCATGGATTCTGCTCCTTCCTGTCTGTTGACCAATAGATGAGGAGCTTACTCAAGAAGGTCCGCCCACCTCATTTACATAATGAGGCGGGAGACAGAGAAATGTAAAAACAACTAATGGACAGTGTGAAGAGTTGAAGGAACTGTCCAAAGTCCTGAAAGTGCTAAAACGTTTCAGGACTTTAGACATTGTAAAATGCTGAAGGAACTGTCCAAGGTCCTGAAAGTATTGAAATGTTTCAGAACTTTAGACATTGTGAAATGCTGAAGGAACTGTCCAAGGTCCTGAAAATGCTAAAATGTTTCAGGACTTTAGACAGTGTGAATGACTGGAGGAACTGTTCATGGTCCTGAAAGTGCTGAAACGTTTCAGAACTTTAGACATTGTGAAATGCTGAAGGTACTGTCCAAGGTCCTGAAAGTGTTGAAATGTTTCAGGACTTTGGACAATGCAAAGGTCTGAAGGAACTCTCCAAGGTCCTGAAAGTGTTGAAGTGTCGCAGGACTTTACAGAGTGCGAAGGTCTGAAGGAACTGTCCGAGGTCCTGAAAGTGCTGAAATGTTTCAGGACTTTAGACATTGTGAATGACTGAAGGAACTGTCCAAAGTCCTGAAARTGCTGAAATGTTTCAGGATTTTAGACATTGTGAAATGCTGAAGGAAATGTTCAAGAYMCTGAAAGTGTTGAAATGTTTCAGGACCTTGGACAATGTGAAGGTCTGAAGGAATTSTCCAAGGTTCTGAAYGTGTTGAAATGTTTCAAGACTTTAGACAGTGTGAAGTTCCGAAGGAACTGTCCAAGGTCCTGAAAGTGCTGAAACATTTCAGGACTTTAGACAATGTGAAATGCTGAAGGAACTGTCCAAGGTCCTGAAAGTGTTGAAATGTTTCAGGACTTTAGACAGTGTAAAGGACTGAAGGAACTGTCCAAGGTCCTGAAAGTGTTGAAATGTTTCATGACTAGACATTGTGTAATGCTGAAGGAACTGTCCAAGGTCCTGAAAGTGCTGAAATGTTTCAGGACTTTAGACATTGTGAAATGCTGAAGGAACTGTCCAAGGTCCTGAAATTGTTGAAATGTTTCAGGTTCTTGGACAATGCAAATGTCTGAAGGAACTGTCCAAGGTCCTGAAAGTGTTGAAATGTTTCAGGACTTTAGACAGTGTAAAGGACTGAAGGAACTGTCCAAGGTCCTGAAAGTGTTGAAATGTTTCATGACTAGACATTGTGTAATGCTGAAGGAACTGTCCAAGGTCCTGAAAGTGTTGAAATGTTTCAGGAACTTGGACAATGCGAAGGTCTGAAGGAACTGTCCAAGGTCCTGAAAGTGCTGAAATGTTTCAGGACTTTAGTCAGTGTGAATGACTGAAGGAACTGTCCAACGTCCTGAAAGTGCTGAGATCTTTCAGGACTTTAGACAGTGTGAAGGTCTGAAGGAACTGTCCAAGGTCCTGAAAGTGCTGAAATGTTTCAGGACTTTAGACAATGTGAAGGTCTGAAGGAACGGTCCAAGGTCCTGACAGTGATGAAGTGTTTCAGGACTTTAGACATTGTGAATGCTGAAGGAACTGTCCAATGTCCTGAAAGTGCTGAAATGTTTCTGGACTTTATACAGTGTGAATGACTTAAGGAACTGTCCAAGGTCCTGAAAGTGATGAAATGTTTCAGGACTTTAGACATTGTGAATGCTGCAGGAACTGTCCAAGGTCCTGAAAGTGCTGAAATGTTTCAGGACTTTAGAAAGTATGAAGGTCTGAAGGAACTGTCCAAAGTCCTGGAAGTGCTGAAACGTTTCAGGACTTTAGACAGTGTGAAATGCTGAAGGAACTGTCCAAGGTCCTGAAAGTGCTGAAATGTTTCAGG